TGGATAAAGGAGGTCTTTGTTAGTGATTCAGCATCTCCACCCCTTCAATTAAGGTGTTAAGAGTTCACACAAGTGCAGTGAGACCCAAGATCCCCAGACCCCTCTCCACAATAAAATCCCGACCCAAAAAAGAACAGATTTTAAAAAAGACAAAATAAAAATGCAATCGCCCCACTGAGAAAATTCCAAAATCCCAAAACTAACATCGTTGCTAACTCCAAGTCAAAAAAAGAAAGATGCCTTTCTTTTGTTGTTTGAGGAGAGGCCAGCAAGGGAGACAGGGAAAGAATATGAGCCCTTGAGCCATTTTTATGCACTGAGTAAGAAAAAAAGGACACATTCATTAAAAATAATYTCTTTGGAGATCACTGTTAAAAGAAAAAAAAAAATCTACACCACATAACAGAGCTATCATGCCAACTTGTCCAAAATGGCTATAAAACCTCAGGAAAACAACCCCAGTAGTTCAGGCAAGAAAGCAGATCTCTGTGCCATGGGATGTAGGCAGTTCCATGGGATGTAGGCAGGCGTGTGCAGCCCTGCAAGCACAGCTCCTTTGCCGTAGGATGGACACAAAACGACTGTGTGTGTAAGTGCCCCTGTTCAACCTCCCCAATTTCACACCTGTAACATCCCACTTCAGCCAGAAATTGGCCATTACACACCTCATAGGAAGCGAGWGAGCGGTAAACAAAAAGAAGTGGAAATAAACCTGTTTAGGTATGTTAATTCTTTCATTTCATACCCTTTCATTTGATTTCAAATAATGACTTGCCCAGCTTTCAAACGTTTGTTTTTGTAATATCTCGAGCAATCACCGACCAAATAATCCAACAAAACAGAAGGGGAAAAAAAGCCTACATCACTTTTTTTCCTCATGCTTTTAATGGTTGATACATTTAAGGATGCTTCGGAGCATGCCATGTCTGTGTGGTCTTTTCATAGACAAATCAAGGACAAAATACGTTCAAGGAAAAGAAAAATGCTACTGGAACCCCTAAAAACTGAGAGAGCTATCTCACCCACCTCCTCCAACTGTGTTTTGACAGAAGAGCAGTCACCAACAGGGAGGCTTAAGAAGACAAATTTGACTTGGAACAACCCTTTCTTCTCTGCCCAGACCAAAGAGAAGGTGTTACTTTATTASGTAAGGGCTACAAGATGATGTTCCTCACCCAAAAGTGAGGTTCATTGTTATTATTCCAAACCAGCTTCACAAGTTAGGTTTGGCATCCAAAGAGTAAAAGCATCTTCCCTTTCACCTTGATGGGCTTTGAATCACTCCACAACCAGCCCTCAGCTGACACTTATTTCATACTTTCTTTGCTGCATGACAATTTTCTGATTCCTCATGTAGTTTACTATTAAACCACTAATCATGTAATCATCCCACCTTAATATTTTACACCCAAATAGCAACCCACAATTGACTGTCACATCAGATTCTTCCCATCTGTCTCTTCATAGTTTGTCTACCCTCCCTGCATAAAATCCACCTTCCACATCCCAAACACTCCATCTTCAGAGACCTTTTCAGTCCTACACAGAGAACTACACAGAGAACTTGGGGACAGAAAGCTGGACAACACAGAAATACAGGATTCTCTCTCTCAGAGAGAAAAGTGTAGCCTTCTGCCTGCAYGCATCCACCTGTCCCACCATTTCCCTATGCATTTGGGGTCTCCATTGTTTGCTCTTTTTCTCATGATCCAACCCTTAACCTCATGAAATTTGCACAGTTTCTACATTTAGCCCCTCATTCCCCTTTGCAGACAGCCAGAGCAGACTCCCTCTCATGYATACACACACACAGAGCCTCTCCTCTACCTAGTAGGAATCCTTCCAAATAAACACATTTCCCCTGCTCTGTCAGATACTGTTCCTCCCCACAATCCCTATATACAAGATCCCCTCCCACACTCTTAGTATCCCACAAACTCCTCTTGCACAACTATCCCATGTACCAATTTGATACTATAGGCTTAGCTTCCCTGGATTCCTGCTCCCCTATCTATCTACACTGCCTCTCAGCTTGGAGCCCCAAAATTTCCCTCATGACCATGTGCACCACCTCCCTCACGCTGAAAGTACTTTCTATCCCACATTCTGGCTCCCAATGCTTCCCCATACCACAATCCCACTCCCATGTCTATTTCTTACAATTACTCAAGCCCCGACTCCTCACATGCTTCATGTATCATTCTCCCCAGCAAACCTCATACTCATTCTTTCATCTAGCTCTCTACGTTTTCCTGCAGACACCCATATTTCAGTACTTCCTGCAACAAAGTCTCCCATCCCTTCCTCAYAGCATGTCCCAACTGATCTAATGTCCCACACACCATCTCCCACCCTCTCACTGCATGTTTCACCTTGTATCCCATTCCCTACATCCCTACTGTGAAGCTGTACCCCAGCCCCTCACTTCAGCTCAACTGCAGAGTTCACATATGCAGGTCCCACCGCACTTTCATACCAGCTTCTTTCTCCTAGGACAGTCTTCACTCCCAATCCAACAACCTCTCCCACTCTATGTCCCAGTCCCTCACTGAGATTGGAATCTCACCACCACCTCTCTAGTCCACCCAAGACTGTCCTGTTCCACAGCACAGCCTGAGGGCACCCCACACCCCTCCGGGCAGCACAGAGCATCCCGCAGCACCACCCCACAGCCCTCCACACAGCACAGCCCCAATGTCCCTAGCACAACCTGGAGCACCCCATACACGCCTCCACACAGCAGAGAGCCCCTGTGCATCCCCCACACCACCGAGCATCCCACACATCTCTCCACCAAGCACAGCTCTTGGAGCATCCCATACACCACACTGCGACCCAGGGCAGCCCACACATCCCTCCTCCCAGCACATCCCCTATGGCATCCCATACATTCCTCCATATAGCACAGCCCCCGAGGCATCCCCTGCACCACAACGCGAGGCAAAGCATTCCATGAGCCGCTCCATACAGCACAATCCCCACGGTTCCCAGTGCACCCCAAAGCACCCCACATCACAAGGAGCACAGCTCCCAGAGCAGCCCGTATGCCCCACACATCCCTCCATGGAGCATCTCCCCTGCTACCCACACGTCCCTCCATGAAGCACAGCTCCTGGAGCATTCCCTGTTCCCAACGCATCCCTCCATGGAGCACATCCTCCAAGCATCCCCTACGCCCCGCACACCCCATAGAGCACAGCTCCCAGAATATCCCCCATGCCCCACACATCCCTCCAGGGAGCACAGCTCCTGGAGCATCCCCTGCTCCCAACACGTTCCTCCGTGGAGCACATCCCCCAGGCATCCCCTGCGCCCCACACATTCCATGAAGTACAGTTCCCAGAGCATCCCCTGCTCCCCACACATCCCTCCACGGAGCACGTCCCCTGCTCCCCACACATCCCTCCATGGATCACAGTCCCCCAGGCACCCCCTGCAACACCCGAGCTCCCCTCGCCCCCTCCTTCGGGGCACCTCCGGGCCCCCCCAACTCCCGAACTTGGGGCGGGCGGTGCGGGTGGCGGTGCCCGCCCCGCACTCACCGCGCTCAGCCCGGGGCCGGCGGGGGCGGCGCGGCGGCTCCGTCCCCCTCCCGCACACACACACAGGCTCCATTGTCCGCCGGCGCCTCCCCCCCCCGCTACCCGCGCACATGGTACCGCCCAGCGCAGCCCCTCGCGCCCGCTCCCCCCGCCCGCTCCCCTGTAGCTCCGCACGCAAAAGGCACGGCGAGTACT